AGGAAGATTGTCAGTGGTCTTGTATGTCTTCCATTTTCTAATTATTGCTCCCATAGTTGATTTGTTCACACCAAGCTGCTTGCCTATTGCAGATTCAGTCTTCCCAGCCTTGTGCAGGTCTACAATTTTGTTTCTGGTGTCCTTTGACAGCTCTGGGACCTGTCACGTGTCCCAGAAGACTGCGGGGAGGGAAGGAGAACAACTTCCACTTCCGATTGCCTGGGTGATCTCAACGGAAGTAGGAGCGGGTACCTGTCAATTTCGGGTACCCGCCCCCCCCCCCCCCCCGCTTCCCAAAGGTGCCAATCCTTAATAGGGAGCAGGGGACCAGTCTTTAAAGCAGAACGTCCCTTTTTGGGTGGAGCTCCCCTTTAATGAAAAAAGGGGGTGGGGGCGGGGCTTGCCGGTGAGTTGCTTGATAAAGGAGATCCGCTTAGTTCCCAGCTATTACACGGCTTCACAGCAACCCAGAGACTAACCTGCACACCCGGGATTCATCCCTACTTACCTGCTGGTTCCCCGCTACCATGTCTTCTAATAGGAGGAAGGCTGTCAGGATATCACAAAAGCTGACCCACCACTTCTCTGCAGCTGGTCTCTGCTCCTTCCAAGATGGCGCCGGCGGGACACACAGGGATTGCACATGGCGCTCTCCCTCTTCCTACACCCTTCTGCACAGTAGAACTTCTCCCCTCATTCTTCAGCAGTGAATGGTGAGTCCCCTCCTCCAAATTCACCCACGACTGCTAGCCCTGCCAAGTCTACACTCAGAAGGCAATCTTTCATGTGCCACCCCCGTCCTCTCTCTTCACACAGATCAACAGCAGTCAGCCATAGAATCCTGCCTCAGACCAACTGGTCTCAGAGCAAACCATGAAGAATATGCTCATCTTGAGCATACCCTGCATGCAGATTTGTCAGCTGTGATTTCTTCACGCTCTCAAACGTCTCACACACATAGAAACCAAAATGGAAGAGATGTTCTCTGCACACAATGAGCCCATAGACGCGCACACTGACCATGATAGCGATTTGCAGGACCTGAGGACAATTGCTGTGGGTGGGTGGATGGAAGTGAGGGGTGGAAAGACGGAAGGGAGAGGTGGGTGGAAGGAAGAAAGGAAGGGGTTGGAGGAAGGAAGGGAGGGGTGGCTGGAAGGAAAGAAAGGAGGGGTGGAAGGAAGGAAGGGATGGGTGGAAGGAAGGGAGGAGTGGGTGGAAGGAAAGAAGGGAGGAGTGGAAGGAAGGGAGTGATGGGTGGAAGGAAGGAAGGGTGGAAGGAAGGAAGGGGTGGTATGGAGAGAGAGTGGAATGAAAAAAGGAAGGAAGGGATGGATGGAAGGGAGGGGTGAAAGGAAGGAAGGATAGGAGGGGTGGAAGGAAGGAGGAAAAGAAGGGAGGGAGGGTGTCACGGTCTGGGTCAGGTTCAGAGACCAGTTGCTATAGCAGTAAAAGGCTTACCTGAAACCAGCCAAATTGGTACACCAGTGGGTCACCCTGGGAAACAGCGTAGGCTCACCTAAGGTGCGGGGTCTAAGTATAAACCGGTTTTCACCAGAGCTTCTAGTGGTGGAGATGGATTTGGCTGCGTGTTAACACCAGTTTGCAGATCTCAGGATCACCCCACCAGGGAATGAGCAAGCTGGAAGCCAATAGCAGATCAAACAGGTTAGGGATCAAACAGAAGCGGAGTCAGTCACAAGCCAAGGGTCGTTCACAAATGGTAGCAGATGAGGATGAGGCAAAATCGTAGTCAGTAGCAAGCCAAAGGTAGGTAGCGAAGATGTAGATGGCAGCAAGAACGATAAGCGGGATATTGGCTGGAAGGCACAATAATCCGGCAAGGAGGAAGTGCATGGACATGGCTTTTATCAGGAAGTTCATGGGAGGAGCAAGGAGTTCAAGGTTCAAAAGAAAACAAGGCACAAGGCAGGATTATCCAATAGATCAGGCAGATTGTAGTCCAGCATCCCAGGTAGCTCAGTGAGAAGAAACATTGCCTCTCACCGCAGAAGGCCCAGGTTCAATCCCAGGCTCTGACAGTACTCCCCTCCTCACAGGACGTCCCCTGGTCATCTCAGGACCAGGTTTGTGGGGAAACCTCTGGTGGAATTCTCTTGTTAATCTAGGAGCATGAACATTTTCCTCAGGCTCCCAAGAATTTTCCTCTTGCCCATATCCTTCTCATTGGACAAGATATTGCAATTTTCCTCTCAACATCCTAGAGTCAAGAATCTTCTCCACCACATATTCTTCTTCACCCTGTACCTCAACAGGTGGAGGAGGTGGAAGAATTCTTCCAGAGAAAGGATTTTCATTAAATGGTTTGAAAAGTGATACATGAAAAACAGGGTGAATCTTCATACTGTCAGGAAGTTTTAAGCGAAAGGTGACTGGGTTGATCTGAGCAGAAATCTGGAAAGGTCCCACAAACTTTTGGCCCAACTTTGCAGATGGAACATGAACCTTCAGATTTTTAGTAGATAGCCAAACCTTGTCGCCCACATGAAAGGTAGAAAGTGATCTGCGATGACTGTCGGCAGCCTTTTTATAACATTCCTGAGCCTCCCCCAAGGTCTCGATCAACTTCGCCTGAATCACCTGCAATGTAGTTACTCTGTTGGCAAGAGCAGGAATTTGAGTTGCGATAGGGAGATCAGGAATAAAAACTGGATGATACCCTGTATTGAGTAAAAAGGGGCTTTGGGAGGTGGAGTTATGTTTAGCATTGTTATAGGCAAACTTTGCCGTAGGTAAATAGTCCACCCAGTCATCCTGAAGATAACTGACAAAACACCGAAGGTACTGTTCCAAAGTGTGATTGGTCCTCTCTGTCTGACCATTAGACTGTGGATGAAAAGCAGAGGACAGGTTAACAGTTACTCCTAAAGCTGAACAAAAGCTTTTCCAAAATTTTGAAGTAAACTGTACTCCTCTATCAGATACTACATCATCAGGAATTCCATGTAATTTAAAAACATCTCAAACCATCAACTCCGCAGTTTGTTCCGCAGAAGGTACCCCTTTAACAGGTATGAAATGAGCCATTTTAGTAAGGCGGGTCGATGACTACCAAGATAGTAGTCATTTCTTTTGAGGGAGGTAATTCGACTACAAAGTCCATAGAAATTGAACCCCAAGGTCTTGATGGAACAGGAAGTGGCTGGAGAAACCCCAAAGGAGAAGCTCTGGGTGTCTTATGACATGCGCACGTCAGACAAGAAGCCACATAGCGTTTGATATCCTTCTTGTAACTAGGCCACCAGAAGGAACGTGACAGAAGGTCATCAGTTTTTGAAATCCCAAAGTGTCCAGCCAGTTTGGAGTCATGAACTAATTTGAGGACTTCCACCCGAGCAGACTCAGGTACATAGAGACGATGTGCTAGAGTCCAAAAGCCGTTCTTGTACTCAAGGTTTATGTCCCTAGGAGAATCCCTGAGAAGTGGGTCATTCTCATACCCCTCTTTGAGAAGACTCAAGAATGTCTTTGCACTTGTGGCCCCTAGGAAGTTCTTGTCAAGGTCCTACCTTTCCTCAGATCTTGTGTCTGCAAAGCATTGTGGGATCCTTTATGCTTTCAGCCCTCTGTGGCTCCTGGAGGTGGCGGCTTATCACATATAAGTCTGCTGTTTGTGGCTGTCCATTGCATTCGTGTCCTGTCTGTTGCACAACAGCAAGCTCCTGTTTAGCTACTCATTGCTTTCCTGGATACCGACTCGGCTTTGGCTAAGACTCCTCCTGGTTCTGACCCCGACTCTGGCGACCATTCTTCCTGGCTCCTGATCCCGGCTCTGACGACGATTCTTCCTGGCTCCTGATCCCGGCTCTGGCGATGATTCTTCCTGGCTCTTGACCCCGGCTTGGCTACGATTTCCACTGTTGGACTTGCATAGACTCTTGTCTTATTTTTATATTAATAAACCTACCTTTAATTGCACCTCCTTGTGTGTCTGGCTCCTTGTTCCCTGACAGTTCTTTTGAGTCAAGATTGAACATTCGGAGTTGCCCTCCTGGGGAGGCTCAGACAGCATCCTTGATAAGGCATCGGCCTTACCATTCCTCGATCCAGGTCGATATGATATAACAAAATTGAACCTAGAAAAGAATAAAGACCAGAGTGCTTGTCGGGAAGACAATCTCTTGGCCGAGCAAATGAATTCCAGATTTTTATGGTCAGTGAGAACAGTTACAGGATGATTAGCCCCTTTTAGCAGATGCCTCCATTCAGAAAAGGCTTCCTTAATTGCCAGTAGCTCTTTATTCCCAATGTCGTAGTTTCTTTCGGCTGAGGACATCAAACGAGAAAAGTAGGCTCAGGTATGAAGCTGCATTTTTTTCATCACTTCGCTGAGACAGGATAGCTCCCACGGCAGAATTGGAAGCATCCACTTCCACTAAAAAGGGTAGTTCACGATCGGGATGTACCAAAATTGTTGCGGAAGTGAAAAGAGTTTTCAGCTTTTCAAACGAAGCCTGTGCCTCAGGGGTCCACACGAAGGGTACGCCCTTCTTCGTCAGCTGTGTGATTGGAGCTATCACTTTAGAAAAATTTCTTGGCTGGAAGGCACAATAATCCGGCAAGGAGGAAGTGCATGGACATGGCTTTTATCAGGAAGTTCATGGGAGGAGCAAGGAGTTCAAGGTTCAAGAGAAAACAAGTTACAAGGCAGGATTATCCAATAGATCAGGCAGAGTGTAGTCCAGCATCCCAGGAAATAAGGGAGGGATGGAAGAAAGAAGAGGAGTGGGTGGAAGGAAGGAAGGGATGGGTGGGTGGAAGGGAGAGGTGGAAGGAAGGGATGGGTGAAAGGAAGGGAGGGGTGGGTGTAAGTAAAAAAACAAAAGAGGGGTGGAAGGAAGGGAGGGGTGGAAGGAAGGAAGGGAGGGTGAAAGCAAGGTAGGAAGGGGTGGGTGGAAAGAAGGAAGGGAGGGGTGGAAAGAAGGGAGGGGTAGGTGGATGGAAGGAAGGGAGGGGTGGAAGGAGGGATGGACAGAAGTGATGGAGGGGTGGAAGGGAAGCTGCTCGGCCATGGAAACCCGTTCTATGAAGCTCTCTGCGCACTGTTGTTCATGAAGGCCATACAAAGTTTGGAGGTCTTTAGCTATTGACTCTGCAGACAGTTGGCAACTTTTTTTTTTACACTTCAGCATGCGCTGATTCCGCTCTGTCATTTTATGTGGCCTTCCACTTTGAGGTTGAGTTGCTGTTGGTCCCAGTTGCTTTCACTTTGTTATAATACCACTAACAGTTGACCTTGGAATATTTAGTAGCAAGGAAATTTCACGGATGGACTTATTGCACAGGTGGCAACTTATCACAGTACCTTGCCTGAATTCACTGAGCTCCTGAGAGTGACCCATTCTTTCACAAATGTTTGTAGAAGCAGTCTGCATGCCTAGGTGCTTAATTTTATACACTTGTGGCAGTGAAGGTGACTGAAGCACCTGAATCCAATGATTTGGAGGGGTGTCCCAATTCTTTATATTGTATAATATATATATACTGTATATAATGTTAGCTTTTTACCGCTCTTATCTGTAAGAACAGATCAAGCTGTACTGAACATGACACATTCTTAAACTTTATCTGGGAGTTTGAAAGTTTTGCCTAATTTGGCAGTTCTGTGTCCAAAACCTTGACATGACTTCATTTAAATATGTATACTTGTGTTTGGAGGTGTCAATGTTTTTTGAATCTTGTGGACTAACTTTTAAATGTTTTTTTTTTTCCATCATCCTAAAAGACCTTGTTTGTCTGCTCTAAAAGTGCCCAGTACTAACCACTTCAGTACTGGGCACTTTTACTCCCTTCCTGCCCAGGCCAATTTTCAGCTTGCTCTCACACTTTGAATGACAATTACACGGTCATGCAACTCTGTACCCAAACTAAATTTGTATAATTTCGTTCACACTAGAGCTTTCGTTTAGTGGCATTTATTCGCCACTGGGGTTTTTATTTCTTGCTAAATTAAAGCAGAGTTCCACTTACACTGTAAAAAAATAAAAGTCAGCAGATACAAAAACTGTAGCTGCTGACTTTTAAAAAAACAGCCACTCACCTGTCCCACAATCCCGCGATGTCCTCCCCGCAGCCCGTTTCACCAGCCATCTGGTGTTCCAGGCACAAGCATCTTTCAGTGTGGGCACCCAGCTGTGACAGCTTGCGGCTTCACAGCCGAGTGCCCACTGCGCATGTGTGAGTAGCGCTGTGCTTCCTGAATGGCCTCGTAGTCTTCTGGGACCTGTCACGTGTCCCAGAAGACTGCGGGGAGGGAAGGTAGGAGAACAACTTCCACTTCCGATTGCCTGGGTGATCTCAACGGAAGTAGGAGCGGGTACCTGTCAGTTTCAGGCACCCGCTCCCCCCCCCCCGCTTACCAAAGATGCCAATCCTTAATAGGGAGCAGGGGACCAGTCTTTAAAGCAGAACATCCCTTTTTGGGTGGAGCTCCACTTTATTGAAAAAGTGGGTGGGGGCGGGGCAATCTTTCATGTGCCACCCCGGTCCTCCCTCTTCACACAGATCAACAGCAGTCAGCCATAGATTCCTGCCTGAGACCAACTGGTCTCAGAGCAAACCATGAAGAATATGCTCATCTTGAGCATACCCTGCATGCAGATTTGTCAGCTGTGATTTCTCCACGCTCTCAAACGTCTCACACGCATAGAAACCAAAATGGAAGAGATGTTCTCTTCGCACAATGAGCCCATAGACGCGCACACTGACCATGATAACGATTTGCATGACCCGAGGGCAACAATTGCTGTGGGTGGATGGAAGTGAGGGGTGGAAGGAAGGAAGGGAGAGGGGTGGAAGCTTAAGTTGGCCTTATATGTTCCTAGTCTTGGAGAGATTTGTGTTAAGCCCTCTACTCCACTCCCTCTTCCCAGGTTAAATTAGCTTCATTCTTATCACCTTCTTTTCAGATGTCTAATAGAACATGCCAGGGATGCCCTCTTTCCCCCTTATTGTTTATCCTCTGTTCAGATCCAACCCTGATATCCATGGGATATGCACCCATAATAGTGATATTAAGCTGTCTTTGTGTTCACTACTCTACCTGTTCTACATCGTATTTTCAAGCTCTTTGGCGTCCTGTCAGGTTAACACGTCTAAAACTGAAGCATTACCGCTCCACATACCTTCTGCTATTTTATCTTTTCTTCAATAAAATTATCCCTATCACTGGTGTTTCCACTCCTTGAGGTACAGTTGCAAGAAAAAGTATGTGAACCCCTTGGGATTACGTGGAGTTTTGCATGAATTGGGCATAAAATGTGCTCTGAATGTCATCTAAGTCACAACAATAGAAGAACACAGTCTGCTGAACATAATACTACACAAACATTAGATGTTGCCATGGTTTAATTGCACATAACATGTAAACATTCACGGTGCAGGGAGGAAAAAGTATGTGAACCTTTGGACTTAAAACCTGGTTGACCCTCCATTGGCAGCAATAACCTCAACCAAAACGTTTCCTGTAGTTGCAGATCAGACCTGCACAATGATCTGGAGTAATTTTGGACCACTCCTCTTCAGAAAAAACTGTTTCAGTGTAGCAATATTCTTGGGATGTCTGGTGTGAATCGCTCTCTTAAGGTCATGCCACAGCATTTCAATCGGGTTGAGGTCAGGACTCTGACTGGGCCACTCCAGAAGGCGTATTCTGTGCTGTTGCAGCCACTGTTTTGTTGAATAACTTGTATGCTTTGGGTCATTGTCCTGTTGCATCACCCATCCTCTGCGGAGCTTCAGTTGGCGGACAGATGGTCGTACGTTTTCCTGCAAAATGTCTTGATAAACTCTGGAATTCATTTTCCCAGCAATGACAACAATCCGTCCAGGCCCTGGCCAGCCCCAAACCATGATGCTCCCTCCGCCATGTTTTACAGTGGGGATGAGGTTTTGATGTTGGTGTGCTGTGCCTTTTTTTCTCCACACATAGTGTTGTGTGTTCTTCCCAAACAACTCAATCTTGGTTTCATCTGTCCACAGTATATTTTGCCAGTAGTGCTGTGGAACATCCAGGTGCTCTTTTGCAAACTTCAAACATACTGCAATATTCTTTTTGGACAGCAATGGCTTCCTCCGGGGTGTCCTTCCATGTACTCCATTCTTGTTTAATGTTTTCCTTATTGTAGATGTGTCAACAAAAATGTTAGCATGTGCCAGAGATTTCTGTAGGTCTTTAACTGACACTCTGGGATTCTTCTTTAGCTCATGCAGCATTATGCGCTGTGCTCTTGCAGTCATTTTTACAGGACGACCGCGCCTAGGGAGAGTAGCAACAGTGCTAAACTTTCTCCATTTGTAGACAGTCTGTCTTACCGTGGACACATGAACATCAAGGCTTTTGGAGATACTTTTGTAACCCTTTCTAGCTTCATGCAAGTCAACAATTCTTGATGGTAGGTCTTCTGAGAGCTCTTTTCTGCGAGGCATGGTTCACATCAGACAGTGCTTCTTGAAACCAGTAAACCCAAAACAGGTGTGTGTTTTTTAAGGGCAGGACAGCTGTCAGCAACACATCCAATATCATCACACTGATTGGAGTCAAGGTTGGCTCACTCCTGGCTCCAATTAGCTCTGGGAAAAGTCATTAAGCTAGGGCCTCACATACTTTTTCCTCCCTACACTGTGAATGTTTACATGTTATGTGCAATTAAACCATGGCAACATCTAATGTTTGTGTCTTATTATGTTCAGCAGACTGTGTTCTTCTATTGTTGTGACTTAGATGACGTTCAGAGCACATTTTATTCCCAATTCATGCAAAACTCCACGTAAACCCAAGGGGTTTACATACTTTTTCTTGCAACTGTATTTAGGTACCAACTTTACTGCCTCCTACCACTCCCTTTATGAAGCTAATTTCTTCCCCCTTTTTTCTCGCTATTTCTCAATCCTTGAAATCTTGGGACAGCCTTGCCATCTCCTTCCTCGGAAGGCTTAATGTGCTAAAAATGACCATACTGCCTAAACTTTTGTATCTGTTTGAGACGCTTCCTGTACCTATTCCCATGTCCAAGCTACGTTCCCTTAAGAAATCTTTCCTCCATTTTATTTGGCATAATAAATCTCACCGAATTACCAGCACAGTCTTTCTACAGATCTAAGGGAGGTCTGGGGGCTCCAGATCTTGTGTCGTATTATTTGGCCACTCACCTCCGTACTCTTGTCTCAAGGTCCTCTCAGCGTCCTTCAAATAAATGGGCTGAGATTGAATAGCCGCAACTGGGTCCACTGCACCCTTCTTCTCTTCTCTGGTTTATGACCAACACTGAAATCGCCTCCCACAAGCATCTTCTGCTCGGGGCCGTGCATTTTACATTGTCTATATGGAGGCAGTGTAAGGGTAGATTTGCCCTGTCCTCTCTTTGCTCACCTCTGACCAATGTCATATTTAATTCTAATCTTCCAGATAGTTTGACCTCGGCCCGCAGGGCCAACCTATTTCAAATGTGACACCTGGTTCACCCAGTGACCCGTAAGCTTAGGCTCTTCATTGAGTTACAAAAAGCTACTCATATGCCTCCCCATCAGTATTATGTTTATCTACAGATACGACACTTCTTCTTTTCTAAGATTCCCTCCCTGACCCTAGAGAAGCCTACTCTTTTTGAACACATCTGCATTCTGGGTCCATACCAGCGGGGCCTAATTTCCTCTATCTACAAGTTGCTTCAAGATGCCTGTCCCCTTTCTTCTGATACACATCTTTATATGTGAAAGTTGCCCTAAATCCTTCAACATAATATTGCCTTAGATCAATGGAGCAGGATTTGGAAGACTGTCTCTCAATCTTCTATATGTGTGGTATATAAAGAAAATACCTATAAAAAAAGCACGCCCACACAGGGGCCATCAATTGCACATAAAAAAATAAAGAAAACAGTGCTCTAACACCAACAGAGCAAAAGATGCCCCCACGCAGGGGCTATCTATGGCACATAAATGAAAAAAACAGTGGTATAAACACCGACAGTAACTCAAACCAAAGGCAGCTATCCACTGCCACACCAAAAAAAACAAACAAAAAAAAAAAGGAAGGAGGAGTACAAAAGGAAAAAGATGATGACAAGACCAAGAGCAGGGGTCCAAGAACGCCAATACCGAGCAACATCACAACCCCAGACTAGCCGGGGGGAGCGTGGGAAAGGCATATTGCAACCACAGCTCCCATATTTTCAAGAATTTCTGTTGGGAGTTGTCACAGATACTCAACATCTGTTCATTGGGTATCATAGTGGTCATATGGTCCTGCACCCCCTGAAGAGGGACAAAAGGGCTCTTCCATGCCTGAGCAATTGTTCTAGTGGCCAAATAGGAAGCCAACTGCTGGTGAGCCAAGAGTCCCGGTATGGGACAATGAAGCAAAGCATACCGAGCATCCTGGCATTTGGAGAGATGGAACAAGGTGAAAAGGAGGCCAAACACATGAGACCAAAAATGAAACAGTCTTGGGCATGATCACCAGATATGCAATACATCACCACGATGGCCACGACCCCAAAAGCATCGATCACTGCAGGCAGTGTTCGCCTGGGCCAAATGAGCCGGAAACCAATACCAACAAAACAATACCTTGTATGCCACCTCCAGTGTGGTCGTATTAAATGAACATTTAGCTATAAGCGACCATGCCCTTTTCCAGTCCTCCAGATCCAAGACTGCCCCCAGGTTGCGCTCCCACGGAGTGACATATGAGAAAGAAGTATGCGTCGAGCGTCTGTTCAAAGCTGCATAAAGAAGGGAAATAAGGCCGGGGCGCCCGGACGCTGTTGGCAAAGCAGTTCAAAGGCAGATTTCTGGTACGGGAATGCAGAAGTGCCCCGCAGTGAGGTCAGCCAATGCCACAATTGAAGTTAATGAAAAAATTCAGCCGGAGGGACATCCCATGACTCCAGAAGAGAATTCCAAGTGGGGAAGGACCGAGAAGTCAAAAAGTGTTGCACCTGCAAAAAACCATTGGCCACCCACCAAGAAAACTCCCTTGGTTGATCTAAACCAGGTGGGAAGAGAGGGTTGTTAATAATTGGGAGCAAAGGTAGGAAAGGTGACATCAGGCCACTGGAGTAACATACCGAGTCCCACACTTGTAAGCCATGGAACAAAATCAGACTCTGTTCCATAGGGCGTAGGGCAGGGGGAAGCCATAGAAGCATCAATGTTGCAATAGGGGCACAATTAGGTAGTTCCAGCAGGACCTAGAGAAGAACGTCCGAGGGAGCGTGCAATATAGACAGCAGGGCAATCTGGCTTGCCTTATAATAGTTAGTTACACTAGTCTATGAACAAAAAGCGTATTTCTGTAGATTTTGGGGTGTTTTATCGGCCCAGATAAAATGCATAATCCTCACCTGAATCAACCGAAGGAAATGAGGATGATCCCGCACTGGGAGGGTGCGAAAATAGTATAACAATTTTGGCAAGATGGCAATTTTCACTGAATTAACCCGTCCTATCCAAGATAGGTGCAGAAATTGCCAGGAGTGCATAAGAGAGAACACAGAGCGAAGCAATGGATAATAATTTGCAGCAAACAACGAGCCATAGATAGGGGTCAAGCGAATGCCTAAGTATTCAAGAGAAGAGGAAGCCCATTTGTAAGGGAGTGGCACTGTAACCAAATCTGAGGCCAAAGTAATATTTAGAGCGACAGTCTTATCCAAATTAAAATTAATACAGAGACCCAAAATCAAGAAGAAGCGCAAGAGAACCTGTTGCAAATTTGGAAGCGTCGTCAGGGGATTAGAGAGTCAAGAGGGCATCGTCCACAAAAATGTTCAACTTGAACTCCTGTCCTGCGTATGGAACACACAATATATTACAATAGGCCTGGAGCGCTAAAGCCAGCGCCTCAAGCGCCAGGACAAAGAGCGCCAGGGACAGGGGGCAGCCCTGTCTTGTCCCTCGCAAAATAGGAAAGTATTTAACGGAAGCCAAAGGGGAAGAATACAAGGCTTGAGTCCAAGAAAGAATAGAATCCCCAAAAGCCCAATGAGACTGCACAAACCGCAGATATTCCCAGGATAGAGAATCAAAGGCTTTATATATGTCTAAGGACAGTAAGAATCCTTGGATTTTCCACTGTTGCAGAAAGTGTATAAGATGGACCACCTTACGAACGTTATTACCCGCCTGCCTCCCAAGGACAAAGCCTACTTGGTCCCTGTGGACCAGACTACGAAAATATTTATTGATACGAAGATAAAGGATCTTGCCCAATATCTTCAGGTCTTAAGAAGATAAATGGGCCAGAAGGCTTGCGGTTCCTGCACATCATCAGTCATTTTAGGAATCATGGAGATATGAGCTCTAAGCACGTCCAGAGAGGGCAGAGCCCTGTCGTAACTCATTGAAATAATCAGCCAAGAAGGGCGCCAAAAGGGTTGCAAATTTCCTATAATAGAGACCGGAGAAGCCGTCAGAACCTGGGGCTGCGGTGGACCATAGAGATTTGATAGCTTGGAATACTTCCGATACAGTGACACCGGCATTGAGGGCCATCTGCACTGCCTCGGATAATCCAGGAAGTCAGAGATCTTGGAAGAATGCCTCTGACTGAGCCACAGGGAAGGGATCTGGTTTAGCGTAAAGGCGTGAGAGGAAGTCTGAGAAACGGGAAACAATCTGCTGGGGATTAGAAGTACAGCCACCTGCGGGAAGTTGCAATCCGATTGGTTTATGGGGTTTGCCCACAGAATTTAATTTCCTGGCCAGCTTATTAGCACAGGGATAAAATTTGTGTTTGGTCCAACGCAGGGCCGTTTTGCCTCCAAAGAAGCAAGTAGGTCCAAGTAGGTCCAACTCTGCAGCCAAAGCGTCTCGCGCGTGTTTATGGGATGGAAATGACTTCCAACAAGCATCCGCAGAGACCAGTAGAGAATGAAGCTCCTGAGCCGCTGCCAGCTGTATAACATGACCCTGCACCGTGGCTTTATGCACCTCCCACAGGGGCACTGCCGAAGAGACAGATCCCAAGTTTGTATGTGTGTAAGAAAGATTCTATTTGTTGGCAGGTAACCTGAGTGGTCAATAGAGAATCATTAATGCACCAGTGAAAGAGGCGCCGTACTGACACAGAGAGGGCAAGGAGGAGTACCAGGGGATCATGGTCCAACCAGGGTGAGAGGGAACTCTGTACTCTGGAGTGATGAGACCAAGATAAATGTTTGTGGAACCGATGACTTCAAAACTGTATGGCGTTGCAAAGGTGAGGAGTACAAAGAAAAATGCATGGTGCTTACATGGTGTTGGCAGTGTCCTTCTGTGGGGCTGCATGAGTGCTGCTGGTGTTGTAGAGCTGCATTTCATTCATGGCATAATGAATTCACAGATGTAATGCCCTATATTGAAAGAGAAGATACTACCATCACTCCATGCCCTTGGTCATCATACACTTTTCTGGTTCAATAATTTTTATTGGTACGTACGGTATATCAATACAACTGGTCGCCCATGCAGGGGCATAAAACAAGAACAGGTAACAAGCTGGGTGCTGGCTACAGCAACATTGTTTACAATGCAGAATATTTACAGTGCAGTCTTACAACCTAAGCCATAATCCTGCTTAAATGACCCAGAGTCTCAACACATATGTCAGTATTTAAAGAGCGAGACAGAAAAAGACAGACAGGGAAGGGGGCAGAAGGGAAGGAGCAGCCATACCGAAAAATCCGGGGCTGGGGCCATTCAGGGCCTGGTGGCGGAGAGCTCGTGGTAGGAGCTCCCGCACGGGGATCCTCCGACCAACCCCCCCTTGGACCTTAAAATTCCCCCCTTAAAGATGGAGCCCTAGAAGGTAGAGACCTACCTCGACCGGGCGGGCTCACCTGGCTCCCCTGGCTGAGCAGCTGCCCGCGGAGGGGAGTTGGGAGCGGAGACCAGCGGAGAGAGGCGGGGACGCTGAGCCTGGACGCCAAACCTGGTCGCCGGGAAACAAGGAGGCGCGGCCGGGACACGTGACCGGCCACGGTGCATCTCTGGGAGGCAAGGAGGCCGGCCGCTTGGCCGGAGGCTGACAGGGAGCAGGAGAGATTCCGTTCTGTCGGACGACCTGCTATCCCCGGAGCCCTGGCAGGGGGTCGATGGTGAGCCTGCCCGACCAACAAAGAAGAAGAGTGTGGAGGAAAGTCCTGGAGGGTCCCCCTGAAGAGTACAAGAGCTGACCTACCGAAGAAGCTGGAGGATGGAGCCTGGAGCCGTCTCACGAGAAGCGCAGGAAGGGTGAGTGAGTCTGGCGGTGGCCCCAAATATAAAAACTGTATAGAGCTAGAGGAAAGCAGGGGGAGAGAGAAAAGGGGGGGACCCCCAGAGGATAAGAATAAAAATAAGGAGAAGAACGCAAGGTGCAGGCAAAGGCACACAGAAAGGTGGGAAGACAGAGCTGGGAATTCTATCTCTACACCTTATTAATTTCTTTGTTTTGCAAAGTACAAGTTTATGAGAGAAAATAAATAGTTATAGAAGAAATGAAAAACAAAAGTGCACAAGGAACCGGGCCTAAAGGGACCCAAACGGGGACAATTTAAAAGGACACATCCCAGGGAAATGTGACCCCAGAAAGGCCCCAGAGCAGAAATGACAAAGGAGAGTCTGATCTAAGTATGCAAAATAGTCCTAAACAATCAATGGAATTGGATATCAGTAATCAACAAATATCAGAGATAGAAAAAGATCTACAAATCCCAAATAAAAAAAGAGATGACAGAAATGTTTAAAGATCTGGAGAGAACAATAAAGCAAGAAATGGTAAATATTTGGAATGACCGGGGCAGTTATTGCTAAGAGTGGAAGAAACGGAGCAGAAAGTTAAAAACCAGACCCAGGTTATTTCCGAATTAGAGAAGAAGATAATTAATATGGAAAAAGCTCAGGAAAAATTGCAGTACAAGGCGGAAATTCAAGAGAATAGAGAAAGAAGGAGAAATATAAGGATAAGAGGGGTACCGGAAAGTTTAAAAGGAGAAATATTGGAAGAGATGGTTTGCAAAATACTGAACTCTATAATGGGAAACTCTGAAATGGAAAGGACTAATATAGAAGGACAATCTCTAGAAATGGTTGACTCCAGGGGAATTATGAGAAGGACAGGCCGAGAGACATACCGTATTTTCCGGCGTATAAGACGACTGGGCGTATAAGACGACCCCCTACGTTTCCTGTTAAAATATAGGGTTTGAGCTATACTCGCCGTATTATTATTATTATACAGTATTTATAAAGCGCCAATAGTTTGCTCAGCGCTGTACATTACAAAGGGGGACAGAACATGTGACAGAACAATACCAATACAATGCAAAACATGAGGGGATCGAGGGCCCTGCTCTTTCGAGCTTACAATCTAGCCGTATAAGACTACCCCTCTTCCAACGCACACCAAATAAAAAAACATCAGATTTGATTTCAATATGGTATGCTATTTCAGTATGGTATTCCAATGATGGGGTGCTATTCCTCCCACTGACACCAATGATGAGGCACTACTCCTCCCACTGACACCAATGATGGGGCACTATTTCATCCACTGATACCAATGATGGGACACTATTCCTCCCACTGACACCAATGATGGTGCCCCATCATTAGTGTCAGTGTGTGAGGAATAGTGCCCCATCATTAGCCAGTGGGAGGAATAGTGCCCCATCATTAGTCAGTGGGAGGAATAGTGCCCCATCATTAGTCAGTGGGAGGAATAGTGTCCCATCATTGGTGTCAGTGGGAAGAATCGTGCCCCATCATTGGTGTCAGTGGGAGGAATAGTGTCCCATCATTAGTGTCAGTGGGAGGAATAGTGTCCCATCATTGGTGTCAGTGGGAGGAATAGTGCTCCATCATTGGTGTCAGTGGGAGGAATAGTGCTCCATCATTGGTGTCAGTGGGAGGAATAGCACCCCATCATTGGTGTCAGTGGGAGGAATAGTGCCCCATCATTGGTATCAGTGGGGAGAATAGTGCCCCATCATTGGTGTCAGTGGGGAGGAGGAATAGTGCCCCATCATTGGTATCAGTGGGGAGAACAGTGCCTCATCGTTGGTGTCAGTGGGGGAGGAACAGTGCCTCATCGTTGGTGTCAGTGGGGGAGGAACAGTGCCTCATCATTGGTGTCACTGGGGGAGGAACAGTGCCTCATAGTTGGTGTCAGTGGGGGAGGAATAGTGCCCCATCGTTAGTGTCAGTGGGGGAGGAATAGTGCCCCATCGTTAGTGTCAGTGGGGGAGAGGAGCGGCTGCTCCTTCTTCCAGTGTGGCCGCTCGATTTTCACGGGGCCGCTCGGCTCCGCCTCCTCGCCGGTGATTGGTCGCCTGTGTGCCTTTCCAGTGCTGGTGTCCAATCACCGGTGAGGAGGCGGAGCCGAGGGGCCGCGTGACCATCGAGCGGCCGAACTGAAAGAAGGAGCAGCCGCGCTTCCTGGACCGGATCGTCGTGGGACCGGAGCCAGGTAAGGTACAGCAGCCCCTCTGTCCACCCCTGTACTTTTGTGTCCGCTGGAGGAGGAGGGGGCGCGGCACGGCACCGCCCCTCGAAAAAGTACCGCCCTGACACCGGCTCGCACCGGCGTATAAGACGACCCCCGACTTTTCAGAAGATTTTCAGGGGTTGAAAAGTCGTCTTATACGCCGGAAAATACGGTACTTGTTAAATTTTATGAATTACAGCAAAGGGAAAGAATCTGGAGGAAAACTAAGGGAATACCAGTAATAAAGTATGAAGAAATGGATATTCAAATATATGCGGACTTGTCATCAGAGACTCTCCGGAGGAGGAGGGCTCTGAGGCCTTTGCTGGAGCAGATGAAAAAACAGAAGGTGCAATATAGATGGGGAGTTCCGGAGTGTTTAATAGGATGGAAAAATGGAATAACAGCCCATTTGAGGTTCCCAGAGGACTTGAGAAATATTTGTGATAGACTTGAAATGCAGAAAATTGAAATAAATGGTTGGGAAGAAGAATTTGGGGGAAATAGATCAAAAAGAGGGGAGGGATGGAGACGGGTGGGGGGGGGGGGGGAGGAGGGGCGGGGAGGGAGAGTGAAGGGAAGAGGAGTCTTTTTTTTTTTCTCCTCTCTCCTTGCTCCCATTCCCCCGCCTTTTCCTCCCTTGTCCCTCCAGCTTGACTCTTTTTTTCCTTCTATAGAAGTATAAGTAGAGAGGGGGTCAAGGGGGGGATTCGGAGGGAGGGGAGGCTGTCCATGGGAGGAGTGAAACCCTAAGGATTAAGTCAAAGGTGGATGCTACTTCTACAAATGATGGTTAGGCAAAGTGAAGGCCTAAAAAGAGGGAGAAAGAGTGAGGAGGAGGGGGGGGGGGGGGGGGGGGGGGGGGGGGGGGGGAGGGAGAGGAAAGGGATTTGGGGGGTACTGGAGAGGAGGGGGGGGGGGAGGGATAAGGGAAAAGGGGTAGTGGGATAAAAACGCTCTATAGGAATAAGAAAGAGGAAGGGAAAGAGGAAGAAAGTGACGGTAGGAAAAGAGTAAGATGGAAGAAATCCAATATATAACCTACAATGTAAAAGGGTTAAGCTGTCCAGGAAAGAGATTCAGGTTATTTAAAGAACTTCAACATAGAAAATCCTCAGTGGTATTCTTGCAGGAAACACACTTAGAGATAGAGTCGAAGGTTAGACTGAGGACTAGGTATTTTCCAACATGGTTCTATGCGGATTCACCAACTAAAAGAGCAAAAGGAGTTGCTATAGGCTTTGCAAAGAATATAAGGTTCGAGGTGGAGGAGAGATTAACGGATCTGGAGGAAAGGTTTTTATTTTTGAGAGGTAAATTACAGGGAATTGAGTGTACAATAGCAAACATATACAGTCCAAATAGGAGGCCGGAGAGGTTTATGAGAGAAGTGTTGAAGAGATTGATGGATTTTAAAAGTGGGTGTATGATAGTAGCAGGAGACTTTAACATCTGTATGGACCCACGGATAGACACCACTTCCTCTGTGAGGAGGGAGGAAAGCAAATCCTTGAGAATGTTAAAGAAATTGATGCATGAGTGTCAGCTGGTGGACATCTGGAGAATTAGGAATATGAAGGAGAGAGATTATACTTTCTTTTCGCACGTTCATGAGACTTATTCTAGACTGGATTATATATTGGTAGAACATCGAATGATAGAGTTGGTGGTAGAAGTAAAAATTGAAGGAAGCACCTTGTCGGATCATGCCCCAGTTGCAATGAAGTTAAAATGGGGGAGAGAAGGGAGAGAAGGTTATGTATGGCGGTTGAATGAGGCACTTCTCATGGAGGAAGAGATTGGTCAAAGAATTGAGAGGGAAATTGAATGGTTTTTTGAAGAGAATGAAACAGAGGATGTGTCGGTTGCAACGGTGTGGGAAGCACATAAAGTTTACATCAGAGGTCTACTCATTGCAATGGGGGCAAAAAAAAAAAAAAAGAAAGGAGAGAAAAGACAAATAGATTATTAAATGAAAATATGATCTTGAACAGGTGCATAAAAGGGAAAGATCTAAGGAGATAATGCAGATGTTAATAAAGAAGAAAGAAGAATTAGAGAATGTAATGGAGGAGGAAAAAAAGAAGAGTCTTTAATAAAATAACAAGTGAAAGGTACAGATGGGGAGATAGGCCAGGGAAAGTATTTAATGAGAACTTTAAGAAAGAAAAAAAATAGAAATTATATTGAGAAAATAAGAAATCCCAGGGGGAATTTGTACACTCAACCAAGGATATTGCTAGAATATTTAAAGAGTATTATAATAAGCTGTATAATATCATACCTCAGGATACGTTTAGGAAAACGGAAACAGTAAATAGAGGGAAAAGAAAGACATACCTAGAGGAGGCAGGCCTACCGAAATTAAGAGAAAACACAACTGAACTCTCTAGAGGCAGAAATAACTTTAGAGGAAATAAAAATAGCATTAGAAAGCATGGCGGGAGGGAAAAGCCCAGGTCCGGATGGATATACGGCCAAATACTATAAAAAATATAAAGAGCTTTTAATACCCAAAATGAAGATTTATATGAACGCCTTAGGAAACGGGATGGAGATAAGGGGAGAGTCTTTACAGGCGAATATAGTATTGATACAGAAGGAAGATAAAGATCCCTCGCAATGTGAGAGTTATCGTCCAATAGCGCTGCTGAATGTAGACACTAAAATATATGCAAAGGTTCTGGCAAATAGACTGAAAGAGCTGATGCCGGAGTGGATACATGGAGATCAGGTGGGGTTTGTCTCGGGGAAGAGAAGGTAGAGATAATGCTCTGAGATCAATGTTGCTTATACAGGAGGGCAAAAAAGGGAAAACCCCAGTGATACTGATGTCGATAGATGCTGTGAGGGACCGCCGAGCGGCACCACTAGCACTCCACTGGTCAGGCGTGCCCAGAGAGCAGAGTCTAAGCCCCAGGGTACTTGTTCACCAGAGCCCCTGATGGTGGGGATGGACTTGGAGCACCCCGGGACCAGGTCGCCACTACTGAGCACACCTGTCAGTGGTAGGGAAAGCCAGATGTGAGGAGGTCGGTGACCCCGATGGGATGGATGGCTGAGCAAGTGCGAAGTCAGACGGGCCGAATTGGTAACGTAGAGGATGGTATGGTACAAGGGAGCGGACAGAGAATCGTCGGGTCACACACACCAGGTCAGCAACAGCAGGTCAGATCTAATGAGGGGCATTCAGAAGAGAGGTCAGGCAAAGCAAGGGTCTGGGCAGGAGAAATCAGCAGGTCAAGAGCAATCCGGGTCAAATAACTTACTAGGCACAGGTTCAGATTTGCAGGATACAGATAGGACCAGAAGGCACTGAATGACAGCTCAGGGACATTTAAATATCCCGCCCTGCGCTGCCATTGGTGCCCAGCGGGCGGGCCGCGGCTTCTACTGCGCATGCGCGAACTCGAACGCCGCGGCCGGCCCGGACCTAGTGCCCGTGTCCCTGCACAGGGCGGTGCACTGCGCCGGGACCATCGCGGCGGGGATCGAGGGGATCCCTGACAGATGCTGAGAAGGCATTCGACAGAGTGAGTTGGGGTTTTATGATGGACACTTTGGAAGAGTTCGGAATGGGAGATAGAATGAGAGGGTGGATTGGAGAGTTGTACAGAGGGCCTACCGCTACCATAATGGTAAATGGAGGAAGATCAGAGTATTTTAAGATGACAAATGGTACAAGACAGGGATGTCCATTGTCTCCATTGCTATAAGTGTTATCATTGGAGCCCTTACTGTCCATGATTAGGAAGAACATAGACATAAAAGGAATAAAGATAGGTGATAGAGAACATAAGGTAGTGGCTTACGCGGACGACCTGATGTTTTACGTTGGAAACCCTAGAACATCACTTCCAAATTTAATGAAAGCATTGACGGAGTACGGAGACCTGTCGAACCTGAAAATTAACCCGACAAAGACCGAAATCTTAAACATAAATCTCAAAAATAGCGAAAAAGAAAAACTACAAAAGGAATTCCCTTTCCTTTGGAGAGACAAAGAATTAAAATATCTAGGAATAAAACTATCAGCCTCAAATAAGAACCATTATAAAGCCAATTATATAATGTTATTAAATGAAATTAAGGAGGAGTTTAGGAGAGTGGGGAAATGGAAATCCATCGTGGATAGGTCGCATAAACTTGATAAAGATGGTAATTGTCCCCAAAGTATTATATAAATTTCAAATTATCCCAATCAAATTCCCAGAGGCATATTTTAAAGAACTGAGGAAAATGATAATAAAATGTATATGGAGGAATAAAAAGCCTAGAATAGGTTATGAAACGTTGACTAGAAGTAAAGAAAGAGGAGGATTGGGGGTACCAGATTTTAGGAGATATTACAAAGCAGGGATTATCGC